TCAGTGGCCCCTGCCCCCACAGAATACAATTTTTTTTCTTACTATGCCATCAGGAGATTATTAACAGCTGATACCTGTTTTATACATTTTCTATACCGTTTCTTGGGATTTTGCAATCAAGTGGCAGACTTCAAAGCCTGATTGTCAGCTGGCAGCTGGCTGTCAGTTAACAGCCGACTGACCTCTGGCTGAAAGTGACAATTTTGAGTGACTGCATCTGTAGAGCCACCCGTCATTTATTATTTTTTCAAACAAACCTAGACAGGAATGTTAAAACTGCTAAACTCAAGGTATTGTAAACTTGTGACATCAAAACTGCAAAGTCAGTGTTTTATACAGACAGCAAACAAACCCAGGAGTAGAAAACATTCAGAATGCTTTTTGAGCAGTCTGCAGTCGAAGCTTGTAGATCATGTGATATTATAGACACCAACCTCATTATTTGTAATTCTGTCCATGTTAAATATATATATAAATAACATACTATTGCAAGAGTTTATATAACAGCAGATAAGAAAAACATGTCGTATAATTGTTTTTTTTCTCCCCTGATCTGCTGGCACAGGGCCAACAAGGACATCACTGGTGACACACCATCTCCTGCCCCACGTTGCTCTCCTCCTTCTGTCCATTGTTCCCACCAAAACTAAGGTAGTAAAATCAATGCCAGAATGTGACAGTTTCTTTCTTAACAAAAATTCACCAAACATCACAAAGATTTTAGAAGGAAGCATCATCCTGGACCAGGCCAGATACAAAGTGATTTGCGAGTTTTTAAATGGCACCACTACATTTGTGACGCTCTACAACACCCGCAACAAGATTCCAGTTTTTTCTGCTGCAAAGTTCAGAGGGGAAAAATGTGGGAAACCCAGTTACAAATGGATGATTGAACCAGAGGTATAATAATCGTCATAAATAATAATAATAATAAAAAAACCAGACCACATTATCAGATATTACAAGTGCAGGTAACAACCTAAGCGGACCTGTAATTAGGTTTTAAACAACACAATTTTCTGGAAACAGTTAGTATATTTCATTACAACATTACAACAACATCAATATTGTACTCTTTCCATTTACACAGCTTGAAAACAATGAAGACATGAGAGAAGAAACAAGTTTCAGCTTCAAGAATCAGGCTAGTAACATTGATTATGCCAATAGCAGTGGGTTTACCAAAGGACAGTTATTTCCAAGTACTTATGGATTTACCGAAATTCAAAGATCTACTTTTACCCTGATCATGTTATTTCACAAAATGCTTCATTCAACAGGGGAAGCTGGAAGAGAGTGGAGAACTGCATTAAATGTGTTATGAATAACTAGTGCAGTAACAACAGCTGTACAGAAGCCTTTGTAGTGACGGAAGCACAGCCCAGCCACAAGAAACCCATAACAATAGGATCAATATTCCACATAGGCTGTGGTCGGCATTCTGCTGCTACAGTGATAGGCTGAAAAATGGCTGGGAAGTGCACACTGGGGCCGGAACAATAAATATAACGAAGATTACACACAGACTAAGACTTTGGAAAGCCTCCGTATAAAAGTGGGAATCGAAGCATTCGATGAAAGACAATGTCCTGGAGAAACAACTGTCACTGAGCTCTACCCACAACTTTCCCCTGATTGCAACTGTCCATAAAAACATAAATGTATAAACTACTGAGGGCTGAGATCTATCATCAGTTTTACACATTTATACATGTTGTGATGAATATGAATAACGTTTATTGATTTGATTCAGTTTGTAATTGCTTCTTTGCATCAGGCTTCATGACATCAAATAAAGATACAGCATATTAACCTTTGTGTAAATCTGGTGTTATCAGAAACATTTTTGGTAAATGGAAGGAAACCATTCATGTTAATTTAAGCTGCTTAAATATAAAACTTTTGTTTGAGTGGTGACATCTATCATAAATATCAGAACAGACTGAGGGAAACACTGGAACCACAAGAAACATCAAAATAAACAAACAGTATGAAAACAGAAACCAATTAACATAAAAGACAAACTGGAGTAGGATAAAGAGACTAAAACAATTTCTAATAATTAGATTTTGATTAAACATGAAGGCTCCCTGTCTGGTTCTTGGTCCCCAACAGAGACACCACCATTAAAAAAGAAACCTTGGACTCCCCTGTGATTCTACCACAAATAATACATGTATTGTTTCAGCTTTGTTACGTTTAAAGACCATGTGTTTTTTAAGATGCATGATGACTCTCAAAATCGACTGACTCAACATTTCTACTTTGGTCGAGGCTAAGCAACCAACAGTTTTCTGATCACAAGAAATCAGGCTACAACAACAGTTACACATGACATAAAGATTAAGGAAGAACTATCATATAACACAGCACAAAGGCAATTTTCCATCTCCCTAAAAAAGATCTGAAGCTGTATTATAAAGTGCACTGATACTTTTTTGGCGTGAGTCATTTTAGCGTTAGTGAACAGTGAGTATTTTTTGGCAGCAGAATGGTCAATGAAGTATTTTGACAAAATACTCTAAGAGCGCAGAGGAACAAATGAACATGTTAGCCATTACAATTTCTTTAATTTCATTTCAAAATAAATTCATCAAATGTTTGAGAAACAAACTGATCTTTGTGGCTGCTGTAGATTCACAGCAGCAGCACCATCACCACAGCCAGAGAGACAGAAACCCTCAACACAGGAAGTGAGTCACGCAGAAGAGGGGAGTGAAAAGGTTCAGGCTGCCCACCTTCAACACAGGAAATAAAGAAAGATATAGTTTGGTCTCGATACAAATACAGCAATAGCTATGTGGTTGGCTTTTAGCTGAGCTAAGTACAGAGAGCACATCTGAAATATTTGCTTAAAAGTCCTAACATCATCTCACCTCTGACAGACAGCAAGCTGTATGGTGATTCTCCAGTACCAGAGATATTACACTTGTAGGAACCTTCATCAGCCTTTGAAATCTTTGGGATAGTCGTGACTCCTGTAGAGCTGTGCCCAATGAGGAGGTTATCTTTATAAAATTCAGCTGTGAGGTTGGAAAAAGAAGTCTCCCTATATGTGCAATGCAGAGTGACGGCATCGCCCTCCTGCAGATGATGGACCGGACTCTCCAGAATCACTTTGCCTCCTATATGAAAAAATAAATATTTAGAGCTTTAAAGATGCACTTTTGAAAAAAGAAATTCATGCAGCAGAGGTGAAGCCCAAACTTTCATAGAGCTTCTTGCGTAAGCAAAGACATATTCCAATCATATGGGCTAAAAGAAAAATGCCTTTCTTCAACCTCAACACCTTTCACGTTCGAAGGAATTCATTTCAACCATTTCAAGATGATAATGCTTTTAACAGCTCTTAATTTCAATATACTTAGTAACCAATTTCCCCTGGAAAATAATTATTTGACCTATACTATTTTAAATACTGCCTATACTTTTAGCTTAATAACTGAGCTAACTAACATTTTTATTCATACCATAACGGAATAATTATAATAGATTGCATTCATATAGCGCTTTTCTAGGCACCCAGAGCGCTTTACAAT